AGTGCCATTAACTGATCTACATCTAAGCAACTGGTAATACGCCTTGATCGTAAAATGGTCTAAAATCCATAGGCGAGTGTACAGTGTGGTTTTTCACCAACATGATCACGGAGGAAACCAGTAATCATGCCAACACAATCTTCGCAAGTTTACTTAAAATTCAGGTGCACTTGGAAATACTATCATGCGCGTTTCAGTACCGTATCTTGTTTAAGCCACAATTTCCAGCGTATTTAGCTGGGTGGATCTAATTCATGGAGTTCTGTATCCACTAGCTTGTACGCGACTCAGCTTGATTCGTTCAAACGCACCCTTTAGTTAACCCCCTAACATAGATTATGGACACTTCAGTGTGCTACGCGAGTACGCTCTGTACATGATGCCCCTGTGCTGCATAATTTTTCATGTATTTAGAGATAAACCTTAATACAACCATAAGTGGTTTTAAAAATCAGATCAATATGAAACGCTCCTTGCAATAGTTCATTCTGCTTAACAGCTAATTCATTAGGTTCGGGAATACTAAATTTGAAATAGATCAGATACTTCGTCCGATTTGCTTTGTCTAAACAACCCGAAAAGCTCGTTCATGTAGCAGTCCACCTTTGATGGAATAGACATTTCCCAGAAATAAATAAAAAGTTAACCGTTCAGTTGTAGCACCCTTTCAGTGCCTAGCTGCCATGCCACCGGAAGGAAATATGAGGGTTGGGATACTGCCAGGTCACCCAAGACTAGATAGGAGAAGTCGAGAGGGAGGGGTCGGATTCGAACCACGGACCTTCCGGTCAGTACAAACACGCTCTAAACACTGAACTATCTTGCCTAAGTTTGAAAAGAAACATGAATACTTCGCTACAAGCAAGTAGGTGGGTTGACTACCCATTCCGATTATGTGGGGACACAATAGCATGTTGAAATATCTGCCCTAGTTCAACTGGTATGCTTACACCTTGAGCATTCGTGTGGACCACTTCATCGTCAGTGTAGGAAACCTTGGCTGTTTAAAAAGTTGGCTGATGCATAATGTCACGCTTGTAATTTGCGAAGATGCCGACAATAAGGGCGATGGCAACATTGGGTTATCGTCTAGGAAAATTGTGATGTGTCCACCACATACCTGAGCAAATATGCGTGTGCATTTCCTTGAACCAGTCGCTTCTTCACTCTCCAAACTATCTGTCTATGAGGTCGTGGTTTTTACCCTATGAACATTCATTTGCACCATCGACTATGAATGTGGCGGGTGGATGGAAAATCAATGCAAACAAAATCGAATGAGTGAATATTTGTTTAAGCAGGTATGCTGTTGATTTCTTGTGCTATGAAGTTGGAGAAGACTGTGGCACTACAGAAATACAGCTGAATTAAATTAAGCGATTGATTCAGTTTACATGATTTCAAAAACTAGTTGGGAGATCATTTTTCAAATCGTCCACCGTCTTGGCACAACCATACTACTCAAGAATGTGATGGTTATTGTTTGAACTGATTGGGGCTTTTGCGAAATGACTACCATTCAATGCATTTGGGATTGCGAATAATGGGGTTAATAAATCTCCGTGATCGGTCGCCTTGACTCGCTATCTGTATACTATATGTTGTACTGTCATCTCAGGAATAAAAAGACTGTATAGCTGAGCCCCGATACCCGCTGGTGCATCATGGAACCCTTCAGCGCAAGTTCCCAACGCTTTGTACAAGTGGTTCCTTCCTGTAGGGTCCATTCCTGAGACCTATTTGCCTTCGGCCCTACTGGATGGGGTTTCAGCAATGGAGTGACAATATGAAACCCGAATACCAGTTAATCGAGAGTTGCTAAAGGCATCAATACAGTTCAGCCGGATCTAATTTGTACACAGAATGTTACTTTTCTGTCAAGTGAGTGGTCACACTAAAATACTTTAGGGATAATCTGACGTATACTAACGAAGACCAGCACATACCTTCAAACTTCTACGCTGTGAAAGAGGATTGAGGGTTTTGTCTTGTCCCTCGATTTCGACCAGGTGTTTATGCTAATTTTGGGAGATTTCCTTATGTGAATTGCTCCATGAGTTTGTCCTCTTATGGAAGAAAATTCTCCACCTGATGGCTAATTTTTCAGTAAAACGGCTTTTTAACAAGGAATCCTCTTCATCCAAGTGACTGTACGAAGTTGTTTTCCTTGTGCAAAGAACGTGTGACCACAAAAACTTGTTTCAGTCAAGTCGCTTCCTTCTACAAACCACCTTCAGCTGTGGAATATCAAGCCTACCTACTCTGGGGAACTTTTCGGTTAGTGTGCCAGACATTGTAGATATGCACTGGACGAACTTGAACCTTCACTCATGAGACCCGTAGTTATAAACAGTTCGCAAGTTCGTGAACGAGACAAAAATTTCGAGCCAAAGGTCTGAAAGTGCCAAATACTACGACGAACTTATTTCACCAGTTCCTCACCAGTTCCATATTTGTAACCAAACACTTTGGGAAGTAATTGTATGAGGTTTTTTCAAATCACAAACTCCGTTGTATCATTTTTGAAAATGACGGTTTCGAGTAGATTTATACACGCCTGAATTTCCGTCTCCCAAATGTTACAGATACCACATAATGAGAGAAAAAGGGAACTTTTCTGCAACAAACATTGTAAAACATCTATCGCGATTAATTTTGAGTAGCAGTTTTCTCATTCGGAAGTTAACTCAAATCAGAAAATATTGAAATTCTTTTTGAAAATATTTTTCGCCCACTGACTCTGAATAGACCTTGACATTTTGGCCATTTGTTGTCGTAAATTGAAACTTCAGATCTTTACTAGAAGATCACAGGTTTTTTGTTCGTTCTGGCAACCTTTTCGCAGTAATATGTTCCTTGCGTTGTCCATACGTTGTGCAACATCCCAATTAAGCACAACTATGCTATTAATAATATCTAGAAAACAGCAAGTGGTACAAAATTAGTGATACTAGGATCGGAAGTTTGGAGGGGATAGAGCATTTTTTATGGCTCATTTGGTGGGATCGCGAAACTACTGACCGTAAGGTGCGTGTTTCGAACCCGACCTCTGCCTCTCGACTTCTCCTGTCTAGGCTTGGGCAACCTAGCCATCGTGCTTCCTTCGGGTGGCATGGCAACTAGGCACCGGAAAGATGTCACAGTTGGATGATTTTCACTTTTTTTCACATTTTATTTGGTATCGTCGTTCACATTGGCCGTGATATGACTTTGACGGACCTTTGTACAATTCTTTTGGAAACAGATGCAAAATGCTATTTCGACGACCACTCTTCACCGCTTCCCGTGTTTTTATGGCAAGTAGCCTAACTAATGTTTAGCGTTATGTGATAAGGTCTTATTCGTTGTCTCGGATTCAGTCCACTCATCGTCGAATGTAGCGTTTCGTGATAGTGGGCTTTAAAAGAAACATCTGCAGCCACCGAAATCAGGTTTTAGAACATTTCCTTATTCTTCGGGTATAACTGGGGTGGTCAGCCGGTCCCATAAAACCAGGCGTGAAAACACCGCAAAGCAGTGTAGGAATTCGTTGCCTTCTCTCACGACTCTTAAAAGAAATGCTCATTTGCAGGTTTGTGGATAAAAGCTTAGAAAATCTGCTACCGAGCCAACATGTGCTAAAGATTAATGGGATTGCACGTGAGCAGACAGGCCTTAATATCTGTCACACAGCTCAGTTCTCGTGAATCTAGCGGGGATATACTATCACACGTACAAACGGACTCCAAGTAGTACATTTGAAAAGTACTGAATTTTGGCTTTTTCTTCCGTATCTTTTTTCATCCATGTTCCTCTCGAATTGGGAGGCAAAGAAAGTAGACTAGACTCTGCAAAATTACAGGTGTATTTGGCGATGGGAACAGTGTTATCACATATTACTTACCATTCATTTGTAAGTCATTGGATGATTGATTTCATCCATGTTCCTCTCGAATTGGGAGGCAAAGAAAGTAAGTTAGACTCTGCAAAATTACAGGTGTATTTGGCGATGGGAACAGTGTTATCACATATTACTTACCATCCAATTGTAAGTCATTTACAGGGATGATTGACGACTCGGTTTCGATTAGTGTAGTTTTCCCCTACCAGCCAGAAGTTAGAGGATTCGAGTTTTCTCATAAGTTCATGCTTCGTAACGGGGATGAAACAGCTGTATGGTGATTTGTTTATCATCACAGATTAACTTGATTTTGGGGGTGATTACCACTAGTGTGCGCCAGTTTCGTTCAAGAAAACAGAACGACATGAGGGTTGGAAGGTGAAGAAACAACCGGGACAAAATCATGCGTGTGTGACATAGTTAGACATATGTAAAACTGGAAACTGTAGGATCGAACCCCACCAAATTTTTGTACGCAAACATAGGAATACTCGTATTGCTTCGTTGGTCTTTTGGATCACAGATGATCTACCGGTGTAACAGTGATACTACTGCTGGGGGAGACGTGCGAGTAGTATGTATTCTTGTAAGTTTGCTTTGCGTCTCTTGAAAAGGAAGCTCTGCTGCGGAATTTGTGGAGTCGCTTTGTAGCATTTGCTTGGATTTGCGCAACAGTCAATGAATATCCAGGAAAGTTCAGGAAGACGCGTTCAAGAGAATTTTGATGTTCCGTTTTTTGTGAGTAGGATGCATATGAGAGTTTTGCTTCCCTCTCCGATAGTCTGTAACTGGTCAGTTGGTATTTTCTAATAAATAACTCCGCAGCAGAGACCTTCTTCCTTTCACCGGTAGTGTTGTGAAATTTCGTTCGAAATGGCAAGCGTGGATTCTCGTGGCCTCACTATGAACGTCCGTTTTATTGGAGTGCGAATATCCTATCCCACGATATTTGCACTATTGAATGAATTCATCCAGTCTGAATTTTGGTACATCATTCACCACCATAACTCTGTACTCTTTGTGTGTGCTGACTATGTTGTAATTCTCAGCGTAACTTAGAAGTTTGTTACAGACTCATGGTTGTATTAGTCTAATCATATGATGCTCGTGGATTTTACAGGTACATAGGGGAGTGAAAGGATTGGTCTACGGTTACGATGGTAAGAATCTTCTGCCAGTCTCGCAAGCAGTCGTCCGTGTGGTGAATGTCACCGATCCATACAATTTCCAGGTTATTACACACAACATTTGGTCAGGTGAGTCGGGAAAATCCTTGTATCGGAGTCGAAATAAGAATATGTCTTGAAGCTTTCCCATACGCCTTTGTTAACTGCATAATTACCTTTTTGTGACTAACTTTCGCGAAGATTTAAATGAGCAAGGTGGATATCATGGACTGCAGTTGCACACGCTTGTTATCAGGTGACGATATTTGTGCAGATTTCAAGCCAGATGAAATGGATATTCCTCTAACATAGTTTACGAGTAATTCCTTTGTGTCACGTGTCTGTTAGTCAAGCTTCAGTTACTAGTTTCTGCAAGGTAGGAGGCTAGACTGTGTGGCTAGACCATCAATATAACCTGATAGCTCAGTCTTCCGGACCCAGCTGTTTACATCCGCTAGATGCACCAAACTTGATATTTGGGCTATCCTGATAAGATTCTCTCTACCAACAGAGGCGGGACGCTTGCACATGGCTATTATCACATATGAACGTCTACTTGGAACCACAAGTGGGGCCTGGATATCAGGTAGAGATTAAATACAGTTATAAGGTGCATGGGAGTGCCATCAAGCAGAGGTTGTCATTTGTTAACACCTTGAAGATCCTTCGTAACTCGTCGCAACTGACTGGTCGGGGACTTGAATGCGGAAGTTGTTAAGTCATACGTGGAATAATAAACCCATCAGGGACTACCCTGAAAATCTGGTGCAATGATCCCTTTTGGTGCTCTTTACCAGACAAGTCTGTCAAGGCTTTACTCTATTCTACTGATGGGTTTTATCTAGTTCTCTTCAATCTTTATCTTACCCAACAGTGTTGATCTTATCGACTTCCCCGTCTTGAGTTCGCGAGAGCATATCTAACATCCCCTGTATCCACCACCAGCTGGTCTTCATATACTTTTCATAAGAAAGTGCTTGCTTCCTTCTTGGTTCTGTGCTATGAAACTGGTGTATTTCTAGTCTCCATTTTGAATTCGGCCTTGAAGTTCCGTAAAACAATATCTATCTGATAATTATTCCCTGATGACTGCTGCCGACATCAAAGGTAAGAGATTTAATTCAGTTAAACGCTGAAACGGCACTCACTTAAACTTTCGTTCAAGCTTGTCCATTCGCTAAGTGAGGCTATGGACAAAACCTGTCATTTTGAGTATGCAACCCCTAAGCGGTTTGGAGCAATAAATGATACTAGACACCACTTGATAGTTCTTATGTCTTCCATACCTTTTTGCGTTCACTTGCGCATATCTGTGACATTCCCATGGGTCCTCACGCACGTGTTTTTCTTAATCACATGACCATTACTCATGGATCGCGCAGCCTTGCCCAGTTATTTATCAACTGACTCTCCTGACCAGCAGGCTGTCGGAGCAACACATGTAAACCTCAACGACCGGCGACTGCCTTTCCAGCGTATGAACTATTGAGATCGAGACCAGCAATCCACATCTCCTCCGCCAAGTCATCGGTGGTCTTCCGGTGAATAGACTAATTACCGCATTAGCATTGCCGCAATAAGTGAAGGCTGATGTCAAATGCATCGTAATCTGCTTGTGTATAGCTCAAAGTCAAGATTTCAATATTATCCAGATCGGTTCAGCTGGGCACATCCACCCAGACACCGTTGCGAAGGTGTTGAACAAGATTTTCTCACCGGCCATATATCTTTATTTAGAGAATGGAGAACTGTTCGAACGGGTCAGTTTCCGACATATCCATTCCTATTTGTAGTGAGATGCTCAGTTTTTTTTTTACTGCAAAGCAACTGCTTATTGGGGTCAGTCAACGTTCGAGTTTTCTCGGATGGGTGTTGTTCACTAGTGAGTAATGGCTACTAGACCCTAATCCATCCCTAGGTACGGGAATATTTACCGTTAACGAATGTGTCTATTGTGCTGACAAAACATTCGAAGAGCAAAAGCGTATCACCCCACTCCGCATAGTTGGTAATTTACCGGTTGAACACAGCGAACTGAATCATATGCTGCTTTTTCTGTATACGTGTGTAATAATTTATCCATGGTCGTCCTGATGTGGCTGTTTGTGATAGAAGGAAATTATTCAGTATCCATTTATTACTTTGGTTTTATTGCTCACTGAGAATGCTTCTTCAGTTTGTGAATATCACCCGTGGTGCAAGATGGCTCAAGTGGTTAGGGCGTGTTTTTACTGACCGGGAGTTCCGTGGTTCGAACCCAACCTCTGCCTCTCGAATTCCCCTATCTAGGCGTGGGCATCCTGGCAGTATCCCAACCCTCGTGCTTCCTTTGGGTGGCATGGTAGCTAGATATCGGAAGGGTGCTACAGCTGAACGATTTTTCTCGAGCATCACCCGTCGGAGTAGCCTTACTCTGTGGTTGTGAAACTTGTTCTCTTCGATCCGAAGTCATTAGACCGATTCAAACGTTTGATCCCCGGTACCTTTGCTCTATGGGAGCTTTTATGTGGCTGCCGCGTGTTTTAAATGAAGAAAACCCGCCGAAGAAAACATCGTTTTCCATTCCAAAGCCTTCTGAGGAGACATGCTATCATCTGGTATCGTGAAACAAAGGTGACCACCTTCTAAATGGGTGCTGTGGGATCACGGCACCTTACCAGTGGGGGTCCGCTCGATTCTGGTCGCATGTGGTTGAAAAGCCTACTTTGTGTGGCGCGTAGCTGGTCTCCCGGGGGGTGCCTGCTGTGACGTCCTAGGTGGACTACCTATCTAAAGACAGCGTTTCGTTGTGTGGTTGGTCCATACCCAGTAAGTTGGGCCGATCCAATTTTTGGTGTCTTTATCCGTCTGGTTGCGCAGATGATTTTTTCTCGTTTCTGTTCCAAAGAGTAGATACATTGTTCTTATATGTTATCTTCGATCAAAATAAGACTTCGCATTAGATCCCATCCTTCTCCGTTTTTCCCACTCTTCATTAGGTATCCTCCCCAATGGTTGCATGGAATTTAGATACCGGCGTTTATAACTGGTTCACTGCTGTCGATGGTTATGGTGCTTATGGTTACCAGTGCTCCATCTTATCATGTTCTTATTTGTTCCAATTTTCCCCCATGAAGGGCCCCAAGGCGATTTCTATCGCCTCCTGACTCCAGGACGCTACTGGATACGCTTTGAAGCACCTGGGTTTGACTCGGCGGCTACATGCTTCGAAATCAATGATCTGCCTGAATGGGGCGATACAAGGCATCGCCCAGCCATGGTCCTGAACGCATTGCTTTTGAAAGGGAACGTCAGTTCGAACGAGCGACTTCACGATTTGGTAACAGAAAGTGGCATAAAATTCGATGCTGTCTCACGCGCGGCCACCGGGTGCACCGGGTTTAACGGACAACTAACTGACGTAAGTGTGGTTTCACTCAAAATTTACCTTCAATGTAATTATGACATGAATGGTACTGTTTTTGCCCACCAAGATAACAGCCTTAGAACCTTCCTCTCTTCTTTGGGGATGGTAGGAAAAGATCGTGACAACTACAACGCATGCACAAGCACGGTCGGTGGCTACTTGGCCCTTAGGTCCATTGCTAATCAAATAGCCAGATGAATGCCTTCTCTCACCATTCTGTGAGGAACAACGGTAACAAAACGCCCAAAGCGGCTGCGACGTTAAGGAGTATCTCATGTTTTAAATTCCGTATTATGACCCTTCGTGATAAACCAGATGAGAGCACTGGCTCACCGACAAAAATCACGTCTTATTGGCCAGTGTCTTCACGTGCTGTTTGATTTTGCAGCCTTCAACTACATTCTGATTAATCCGTGAGGTTTCCTATCGAGTTCTATTTTCCTTTACACTTCGCTTTCATCTTTCGTATGAAGTCTTCTGGCGCCACAGGCCGAGGTGACTCAACCTGGCGTGCGCCTCTACCTGGCGCATGGGTGTGAAGCTGAAACGAAGCTGAAGTTCAGCGGTACTCTGCGCGTATCTCTTTGGGACACTGCAATATCACATACGTGATTAATGCTTACCTATGCACCACGAAATGTCAAGTGTAGTTATGGACTTAATTGATGTCTCCGTTGTGCAGAAATCGGCCTATTATCTCATCAACACTTCAGTTGGGAAGGTCTTCAGAATACGCCTTAACCTCTTCAGCGTTTCCCACTGATAATTGCTCACCCGTCAGTGAGTAAACAGTTAATCGGTTGATTTTATGTTGTGGAAACAGACAGAACCATGAAATGTACCAATCCTGAAAGCGTTGTGTCACCAAACTTCCAAATCTATTTGAGCAATAAACTATACAGATTCTGCAGGACTTAATCCTTTCATCCAATCACGTAGTACCAGCTGGGGATTGCTGGAAGATGTGAAAACCTTTCTCAGTATGCATAAATATGCCACCTGTGTATTGGATGCGATCACGCCACCAATTACTGTCTCCAAAGAACCGTTACCAGCCGCAATATTCAAACAATTCAGGCGCTGGTTTGCTAGGATAACATAAGGTACCAGACAATTATCGTTCATGACAAGTATCAACTGCTGACAACAAATATGTTTGGATAGATCAGATTACTTTGAGACTAGAAGGGACAGCAAATTCTCCCCAATGGATGTTCTCAACGGTTGACTTCGGGCATGATTATTATAGGAGTTTTGGCCTTATGAAACCCGACTTATTGACGTGGCGATTCGAGACTAACTCAGTATGTTGATCGAGGAGATCGTAATCAGCATGGATAGTTCGGACGAGGGCAACCTTTGAGTGTTTCTCATCACTCTGCAATGGAAATCAGGCCAAGAAAAGCGACCAGAATCTCGGCAGAATACTTCACTAGGTTGCCGAAAGGAGTCGACTTCATTTTCAGAGCTACGCAGTGACAAGGTGTTCTGACCGGATTCAGTCAAATATGGTCCCTATTTTTTAAGTTTAGTCCCGCCTCATCGCATTATATCCAATTATGGAACATTTATTAGTGGTTTCTTATGTTAGAACTTTGTCCATGGTTTGGAAGGGAAGTTTGTAAGTATGCAAAATTCTTTAACCGATATCTCTGTTGGCTGGTGGATTTTTCGAAAACTGACGAAGCGTTATAACACCAGTTGGAAACATCAATATTCCCCTTCCGAATAATAACCCCCCAGCTAGTAACTCTAGTACAGGTTAGGCTACCCGACTATAAAAGGACAGGACTATATACAAGCTCTGTGTTTACGGAGGTCGGATTAGTTTTGCGCAGTTGTTGCCCCATTCGGTCGTGTCCCAAACTGTGGGGTTCAATCACACAGCTGGAGTGCTGAGTGCGACACAGTGTTGCTATCACACATGGCGACACTGAGAGAATCCAGGTATAGATAAAAATGCACTGGTTTTTATGACAGCTGAGTTTGTTAGCAATCTAGCGTGTGTCCAACAGGTAGAGCCTGACGATGCATTTTTAAAATGGTTTGCAAGTGTTATCGATCAACCTATCGAACGTCGTGTACATCAGCATTATCAAAGACAGCAGCGCCAGTGTTGACCTTGATTCATCACCGCCGTACAGCAACAAAGTTTGAAAGTCTTGGAGTGAAAAGAAGAACGCGGGTGAGAGAGTGACCCGGTGCTAGCAGATCGCAAGCCTACACCTCTAAGCGCCCAATCAGACAATCCGGAAAGAAACTGACAACATGAACGCTAGTGACATCGATCAGCTGCCATTTCATGCAGTGTCTCTAGCCAAGCACAAGAAGGATCCAATCCTGGAGTGCACACTAACAATACCCAAACTCTTGATCATCTCTTTCACACATAAATACATTGTTCACCTCGCAGTTTGCGCCATTCTGAAGGAGGAATGGAGAACAACACTTGTCTCGGTTGATGGTGTTACCGAGTGCGTAGCACATGACCGAAAAACCGCATTTGATGGTCCCAGATGTTTTCCGCGTATGAAGCACAACCAGATGCCCACTTGCTAATTTCCTCGTTAAGAATTCTTTGAGGCCATCCGTAATCAGCAACACTTCTGAGACATCGGAGTCACTTTACATCATTTGTGCGCAGAGGCCATGTCTCGCAGTCACAACAATATAGCCTTATATAGCCTGATACATGAGATCAAGGGATGTATTGTTTTGGTGCCACAAGTGAACCAAATAGCAAATGTGATTCTGGCCTTTGATACCCGCAGCCACAAGTGAACCAAATAGCAAATGTGATCCTGGCCTTTGATACCCGCGCACTGACTTCATCAAGCACACTTCCGTCGGAGCTAATACAACTGCCAGGATAGGTAAAATGCTTCTAAAGCTTCATTGTTTATCCTTGAATGACTGAGGACATGTCCAGAGACTGCATGTTCTGAAGCCTAACTTTGCATTTTGAAGATGGAAAGCAGATATAGAAGGATAGTGTGACTGTGGTCAGTTCATTCAACAGGGCCTATGCTCCCTTAAAGTCGATACATACAAGAGTCAACCGTGTTCATACACCTTAAAACGTCCAGGACGAACCCAACTTTTTCACAGTTTTACTATCCACGTGTCTAGTGTTCCTGAAACGACAGCCCATGGAATATGTAGCGTGGGGTTAAGTCTCAGTCCGGGAACTAAACGCGCTTTACCGGATTGGATTCTAGTGAAAAGTTCCCTTTGCACCCGGCTCAATCAAGATAAATTCCAGTTGGTACAAACACTAATACTTGTTTGTGGTGCCCGCTTATGCCCCAGTGACCTGCAGTTCTAAAGTTCTATTGAAATTTGTCCGGGTTCATCTTTCAGGCAAAAAACTGACATTCATCCTTGTAGATCACATTATCGCCCAGACTGGTAGTCTGAAACCTTTGGAACCACCAGTGAATGCTCGCCGTCACGGACAACGGATAGCTGTGCACTGGCCGTCAAATATTTCTAGCCAGTACGCATTTTCAATTCAAACACTTACATCGTGTACCCTGGCAACCACTTGGTGCAAAACAGTTAGATAACGTAGCAATCAGTCATCGATAGAGAGCCAGGAATGCTGCCCTTCCGTGAATTACAGACTGATTCCGATCATCGCATGGTGCAAACGCCTTTGATACTTCACTTTCCTTTAGGGTCTAACAAATCCGTCATCTTTGAGGAAATACCATAAGTTGGCAGCATCTATCTGATCTGGCTCAATGAACCAGCATAGTATTTGCAAGAATCACGTTAATGAAACACGGCGCACTATGAACAGTGGACTGCAGACGGCTTTCGAAACTCTGTTTGACCTCTCTGATTAGATCAACTGACTACTGGGTTTCTCCGAGGCACAGTGTCCTGACTCATGCGCTGAATTCCACACCAACAGATAGCGAGCACGAGACCACACGAAAATCCCTCAAACATCGAACAGTTAAGAATCTGAGAAGACTCCAGTGAACTTTGAAAGCTCAGGAGGTTGATGTCTTTGCATCTTGAATATAGCCAAGCCCTATACAACTCAAGGTGATCGACTGGCCAAAGGAAAGCAGCCTCAAGTGAAACGATAAGTGAAAAGATTTCTGTAATTCATTTGCAAAAAGTGCCAATCGGACGGTTCGGTCCTGCATTTCATGGAACATTTTAGTTAGCTTCCTGCATCCTCTGCAGACTGTATGCGGGTAAATGGAAGTTAGTTCTTGATTGTTCGCCAGGAGAATAAATAAATTATGACATCCTTTCTAAGGTGCGAGGAAGGACCAGGACCTGACGGTCTGTATCCAACATTCAACGAAGGCGGAAAATCTCTATTTACCTGAAAAAAACTTACAAGTGACGAAAGAGAAAATGCGGAATGTGACACACCAACAATCATCCCTGTCTTCAAAAGGTTGCGTGAAAACTGTGTATAAACCATCGGCTACTAGCGTGACAGCTGTTGTATCGATAATGCTTTCCGATCTAATTCTTCATATACAGAGAAGCAGAACCGTGACATCCAAGCTGGGTTCCTTTGTGCAAGAGGGTGCATCGGTCACGTAACTTACGACAGATTTTGGAACAACCGCACCGCCTCCGTTAATCAACAACGGTCATCTTTCTTGAAATGAAAGTCGTCCTTGGCTCATTGATTGTCGTGCAAAACGGACCTCTTACCAACGTGCATAATTTGTGACAGCACATTCAGATGCTCTAGTGATTGCTGTTTCTCTGGATGGTGACCCCGACACGGGACACATCAATGGTTAAAGCCGCTGGCGGACACGGCCAAGTCACACGCTCAATGGCGTGAGTGCATCGAAGCTATTGCCCTCAGCGCATAAGCTTTCCATCAAATTTCCCCAACAAAAAGAGCAACTCTCACTACTGGATTCGCGCGTTAACGATATCGGCTATTTTTTTCAGCGAACAAAACTTTGGCAGCCTTGTACACTATGTGCTCGGTTTACAGACATGGAAATTGATGATACGGTTAATGTATAGTTTTTTCTTGAACTGCAGCTAGATAGATATCGGTGTTTGCTGATTAGCTCCCTGTTCAGCGTATTTGTTTGTGACACGCGCGTGGGACGCCCGTCTCTCAAGATTTTTTTAGGAAATAGGCCACCATTGGTATTGAAACCACTTTCCTCAGTGTAGTAGTTGGTTTTAGAGCTTTGGTTTGGAGAGGTTTTGGTTTTGTTAGTATTGGTATAAGTTAATCTGTGTCATTGGGTGTTTGTTGCCGTTGAAGTGCCTTCTTTTTCCAGCTGTTTATGAGACAAATTGGTCTTATCGTTCTAAGATACTCGATATAAACAGTTTTTCTTTGGTTCTCACTCGTTCTGCACCAGAGGATGTCTCTCCTCTATTTGATACAACTTTGTTACAACTCTTTTGGTGATTTTTGGGTCGGTGTATTTCATTTTCCGACAGGTAACCCATTCCTAGTACTGCCAAATGACACGTCCAATAACAGTAGTTGGTTGTTCTGAGTTGATTCAAATCCGACAGTAAATGCCATATTTTAAAATGTCGTATTGAGGATCCCTTAGAAGTTCCGTTTGTTCGCATGATGGACGATCGTCTGCGGAGTTAAAACAGTAAATATACTAAGTAAAAGACTCGCCAGGACTGAAAGTGTGATTCTCCCTTGAAATGATGTACGATCACCAAGGTATACACAGTCTCGATGGCTTCACCAGCCTTGAGCACACTGCTCGCTTTACTTTTCGAACTAGATAACGGAGGCGAATAAGACAGATGAAAGAATTGTGGTCCAAACATTACTTAGGTGCTCTAGTTACGCTGTCAAGCTTCTGAGCACCGAGCAGAATCAGTTGGACTCGAACAGGTAAATAGCGTGAATCAATCACAAGCCATAAAGTTATACGAGACCATCGAATCGCCGACTGAGTTAACACTAGTGTCTAAATCAGTTTGGGTTTTCTGCCTGTAGTGCTGTATGCATCCCACTTTGTGGTCTGAGTTGGACTGCTAGCAATGAACTGGGGCTGTAAAATCATGCCCTTGCGATCCGGTCGCTTGGCGACGTGGCATTGTGAAGTCACATGATACATGTGACTTGTTTGTTGTGCTTGAGAAGCCTGTGGATGAAATTATTAGGATCACAGTTATCTAAAACCATTTGTAGCTAACCACTTGACAACCCACTGATAGTCCTGGATTTATGCACCAAGTTATCATCTCCCGCCTGCAATGTGCAGCTACCTACCCCCCTCCCAAATCATCGATGAACGAAACTGCCGCAGCTACAACCACTGTACGACGAGTACGCGGTAATTTCAGCTGACAATGATGATGATGTGAACATGTATATCTGTTCTGCTTAAAGTACATCAATCGAGGAGCTGAGCTAAACTATTCCACATTAATATCCGCTTTCATTTTTCAACAGGCTCTAGACGACATGGAAGCCGACCATGATGACGAGCTGGAGGGAGGAAAGTGAGAAGCACAGATGCGCCACAGATCCACCTATAATGTTTTTCCTTATAACATTGCTGTCTTATCTGAAATCGTGCAATTGCAAAATTTGCAATATATACCAGCCACCGAAATCGATGTGATATCTTTCCCCTCACCAAACCTATAAGGCTGAGCAGCATAGAGGGAGCAAATAATGAAATGCCCTGCTGATATCATCCAGTATGTGTGCATACCTAGCAGTTAGCTTAGTTAAAAATGGAGTTAGCCTGCCTAGTTTGGTGGTTTGGTTGGACTGAATTGCAGCGCTGTCATCACTCAAAAGGCAGAATAACAAGAGGTACATGGCCATTCGCACAGTTTGTGTCCTACGATAAGTGACTAGCCTATTGATTCTCCGCGATTCCATATGACTGAGTGGTGGAGTATCATCCGACAACGGCCTGTATACCCAAACGTGCGTGACAAGGGAAGAACACAGCTTGATTGGGGCATATTTCACCCAGATATTCTCCCCAATAATGACATCTATGGGTGACCGCTACAACATCAAAAGAGGAGTACGTACTTGAATGTGGCTTAGTGGAGCTTCAGTCGAATTATGAGTCTCTTTACTGAAGCGAAACAATTATTCCCAGGACAAATGAGATTTCTCGGTTGAAATATAATTTAAGGGGACTTCGAATAGCACTGAGTACAAGAGAACTACACCACTCGGAGGACCAACTACTTAACGTAAAGGCCAACTGGAATTTCATCTATTTCCCGAGTGATCAAACCAAACTCGTCGTATTCCAATTGGTCTGTTGGTTACGTATGCTGTTACCGCGATCTACTCTTTTTCATCCTCGAAAGATGCTTTCACCCGTTTAGTCGATACCTTCTTAGATGAAAACGCAACGTCTGTCAACTCGATGCTACACTAAAAGTACAGTTTGGTTATCGATGAAAACGCACTATTTTCAATAGGACGACGACTTACTGAAGATTGCAAAAAAATCCAAGTGGAGCTTGTAACCCCAACTTTTCTACAAGAAAATTCACAGGGAAACAATCATGGCACTTTAGACTTGTCTGTTGATAGTGTCCATGCATTTATCCTTCTTTGGGTCCCATATCAGTTGAGAAAAACCAAGTGTGAGCCATCTCTGTGACTCATTTAGAATCTGCATGAACGGACCTCGTTATTTGAAATGTATCTGATACGTGACCTGGCTTGTTAGGTCTTTCGAGTCATTTCGGTACAAACGGGTCGAACGCGTCTACGAAAGACGATAGCTAGCTTATTCTGCCCAGGCTTACAGTTAATGCCTGTCAGCACGCCAATCCGAATTCGTAGGCTGTATATGCAGACACCAGGAGTATTGGTAATAGATATGTTATCTACTACTATCGGGCTGATAAGGACGACGCGCAGTGCTGTACAAACAACCTATAGAGCCTGTCGTCGCTTTTTCTCCGTGAACACCACCAGCACCCATAACTGTTGAGTTAGTGTTTTCCACTCGGAAATTACATTGTACTCTGTTACTGGTAGGGGGCAAATAACCTAATTCACTGAGACCTAATGTGTTTGTTGGACATCTGACGTCAGCATTGTTCATCTGCGCATTGCGCCACTTGACTCCATAAACCACTGACCACAGTGGGTCACGGGATTAGATACGCTACTCTGACCTCTGTAGCTCGTCCAATATAAGAATATAAGACACACGTAAGATAAGCTTGGCTGTGTACAGACCGGTTTGTAGTTGGGTGATTGCGAATGGAGCGAACACTTTGCGCGCAAGAACGCTGAATCGGAATTCGGCCTGCACAAATAACGCGTCCTGTGGACTGCTCTGAGAAGGCCACAACAGACCTGATGTCACAAGACGGGACGGAGTTACAGCAACTCTGAGGTGTTTTCTTAGTTTATATGAGTGACGTCATTTAAATACATACTGATGTCCTTTGGGAAGATTGTTTTTCGTATCACTCGAAAGATGTCCGACTAAAATTTACGACAGAACTTTGATATGACGTTTTGATTCGGATGAAAAGTAAGGATTAGTGGTGTTCCAAGCGTATAAATAGCATGCAAGATGCCTAAGTTTGGTTCTAGAGCACAGATACAGGGCAGAATACCATTCACAACGTGTAAAAACGTTTAACGGCAGCAGACATTGACGAAAAACACTAGTTGATATGATGTGTATTGGAAAAAGCTTGGGGTCGCAAGCCCTAGTTTAGTGGTAAGTGGAAAAAGTTACATCAAACAGCTGGACAAACAACTCGTTTTCCGCTTGAAAAAGGAGAACAGAAGAAGAGAAACTTCTGACTACCTGCTTTTACACAACTGGAAAATAAGCTGCTTCAGATAGGCGAAGTGGACAGCAAGCCAAACTTGCAATAGACAAACTTATTTTTGGCCCAGTTGATGGTAGTAGAGGAGTTGAGCAGAACAGCATGATGTGGACAAGAAGAAAGGACGGGGTAAGAAATTTTGTTGTTCTTGAATACCGCTTGAGTCCAATAACCAGAGGATGTACAACAATCAAATTATTCTAGGAATTAGACACGTCAGATCATGGGATCACTGAGGACACAGGGAAGTCGTGGGGTCATTGGAATTGTCAACTTCCTCCAGATGGTTGTTGAAATTCGTCGCATTTCATCCATATTAACAAATGATTGGCGCGGAAAACGCGGATGTGTTTATGGGGACGTGTGTGTTGAGAAAATTCAATGAGGGCGAACTATTTGACAGAAATTGACGAGAAACAATCCTGTGTTTGTGGTTCCCCATCGTCGAAACGCTGAATTGGGTACAAGAGGAAGCGATTTGGAATAAACATTTCATAGTTGCAAAGCGTTCTTCCTCATGATGGTTGGTGTCTGCATGTTAGACGGAAACTGGCTAGTCCGGTTTGTGGCGGTCGGAATCCCTAGGGATACAAGATTCAGTAATGAGGTCGGACTGCAGGATGGGTTGATTGTTACTAAATAAGGACAAGAGATGAGCGGTTTCGTTGCAATTAAGTGACCGAGAAAATAGGTTTTAAGTTAAAAGATGACAATATGGAGTCGAAACGAATGAGAACCATTTGAGGAAGCGTAGTCAAACCACATGGTGGCAATATTATAGGGATCACCTGGAAATAGATTTATGCGGCTATTAATGCTGAAAACCTGCGCTTCAGTGGGGGAAGGATGTTAAGAGGACGGTGGTAGTATTTCAGTGTTTTGTGTTCATTCGAGTTTGTTTGGTAGGTGGAGGAGCAGCGTTCCCGAACAAGGAGTGTGAGTTGTGAGACATGTAAGGTTCCCACCGGTTGGGAAGCTAGATTTGCCGGACAGCAGAGTGAGGTACGTATCACCTCCGAACCACTTACCACATTGCTAGTGACGTTGGTGCTCAAATTACCTGTCAGATGGTCGCACTTGGGTAAGGAAAGCACCAACTGGTTGTTTACGAAGTCACCGTAGGATAGGCTTGTGGAGATAATGATATATAACGGAGATTCGAAACCGCGACGTTTTGGTTAGTAGTTGAACCGGTGAGGACAGTTGGTCAGCAGTGTGAGTGACTTACACATTCGGGTGCCAGGGTGAAAATTTGTAATAGGCCTTATCTTCATCATGGTTACCACTCGTAATCTTGTGACCAACACCCTTGTGGCGCCACGTCACTGCTGAAATTTCGGAAGCAACTGTTTTTCTGATCTCAGAAAGTCAGATCCCCAAAGAATTCATGAACAAACTTGTGAAAGAATTTGGCAATCGAGTGTTATTAGGACATATGTGACCAATTCTTGAGAACCTCAGTCATACATACTCGATTCGTTCTGGGTGGGTCCAAGGCATAAGTATAGAACGGAGAATATATAACTTTTATTGTTGGAAATTCTATGCAGTTGGGGAAACGAACATCACTTATCCCTAACTAAACAAAAATAAAGCCGATGCAGTTGGACTGCTTCAAGACCTCCACCTCAATCATCCCTTTTATTCAGAAGGGATAATAGTATCGCAATAAAAAAGGTATCCGTGGCTTGAATTCGAACCAGAGCTGGTGAGTGTTCCACCCGTACATCTTTTCACTTTCAAAGACGGACGCATATGTACATACTGTCACCACAACGGTGCACCACGTTGCTACCACAGAAATACTGAAGTGGCATCCGATTATCTTAGCTTATAACAGTTCCAACGGTGTGAGACGGGCACACACACCCAGACGGACCAATCTTTTGCACACCCGTCTACAGGACTACACGAGTGTCTGCAACTTTTGAAGCTTACTCTGAAGAACCGGCGAGCATTAACAGTAAAGATTAACCTCAAAATACGACACCTTGTGTTCCTCAAGGTTATTCCTCAGAAGGAATTTTTCTATTCGAAATCGGTGACCACAAACTGACCTAAGCGGCCATCGATTTTAAGCAGTACTAGCATATGCCTAATCTGGATAGACAGAAAATTATGTAGACAAAAGATAATTAGAGCCAATTCCTTAGATCCATTCAGAAGTTCACACGTTCTGGTTCAACGAGGTTCGGCTCTGTTAGCTCAATTGGTTTTTACTTCGTCTTCCCCAATGGCAGCAGGCGTCAAAAGTTGTGATATACGTGTAGAAACCGGTGACCTAGGTGTTGAAATACCGGAAGTTGGTGAATGGTTGTGACGCGAGTTCAGCTAGGAAATTGTGTGCCCATGTGTATTTTACCCTTCCACTTCAATGGAACTATGTACTTCTACTGGCCCTATTCAATTATCCCTAATTAAGTTATTGGGTTCAATTCACTTGCGTTCCATTCAACGGACCATTTTTTCAATAAACTCCAGTTCATCGAACTTTCAGTTTGTTAACGACCATTTCCGTGGTTTATCAACTAATTAAACTTTTTTGGGTATCTACAATCCTCACATATTGCACATAGTGAATTTACTGCAGCCCGAAGTTTTACTGCAATAAGTTTGAGAGCTTTGGAAAATTAATGCTTCAAAGATCATATCCAGTTCTTAAAAATGGATTGATGATGACGGTTGATAAACCAAAGATAGATGGATTGAAGAGCGAAGCAATTCGACCTTTCTGCTGTGTGCTAATCATTCGATCGATTCCTCGCGTTCACAACAATAA